ACCTCCTGAAAGAGATGACATTGAAATTGTCATTCTATCTGTCCTGTGTTATAGCATTATTGAGACACTTGTGCTGTGTTTAGGTAGAAAGAAAATACAGCATAAAGGAGAAGGAATTTGCATGGTGATCTTTGCTTGTTATCAAGGTGGGCTGTGAATACAATACTGGACAGTTCTTGCACTATGGACATTTCTCTAGGAATGCCCTGAGTGTGAATGTCAGATCTGGCTGAGTGGGTTTAGGAAGGTACGATATCATTGGAATCTCAAGCTCAGGACATAATTACTGAATTACACATAGGGAAAGAATGGGGAAATTGACTCTACCACTCAAATAAATAAATCTTTAAAAAATCAAGTCTTTTATAATACAAATAATACCATGGCTGAGAAAGAACTTGTAAAATCAGTCCTGTTCATGATAGCTGTAAAAAATTTAAACATGTTGGAATAAATTTAACCAAAGAGGTAAAAGACCCCTACAATGAAAATTATACAGTGGGGAAAGAGTTTTATTATTTTTCCTCCTTATACCTTGCAAACTATTCCTGGTATAAAGGCATAGACTGGTAAACTCAGAATCATGAGAGATCTTGCTTTCACCAGCATTGTGAAAGCAATGCTGGCAAATCAAAGAGAATGGGAAACATAAATGAAGACTGGGGACTGCTTAGATTATATAGTTTTTTTTTCTCCATGAGATGATTTTAACTGGAACTAATAGACTCTGTGGAGTGGACAAAGCTCCAAGTGTTAATGGGCCTACAGTTGAATAAGATAATTGAATCAGGACAGAACGTTACTCTCAGTGGTCTAATGAATTGACTCATTGGATTTGCTACCCAAAAATGATTACATTGGCTACAAATGTTAAAACAAGGATACACAATTTGGTATAGAGTATGGTCACTACTTTATTCGTCAAAAAATTATGGAGAAGAAAAACTATCAGAAATTCATAGGTATACAGAATTATAGTATTTGACTTAAGGTAATGTGACTGTGTGTACTTTCTTTTTCTATGTTAAACATTTCTATAATCACCATGTTTAACTTAAAATGGAAACAAATCTTAATTTTTAAATATAGAATATCATTTAATATCAATACACTTTAATGACATAATTTTATAAGAAAAGGTTAATTTTAAAACATTATTAATATTTACATTAAAATTAGACATTATCTATATTACAAAGAATATTATAAAGATAAAATATGATACACTATGAAAACTTTGATGATACAATGGATTGTTAAGTTCTGCATCATATATTATCCATTCCATAAGTAAAAAATGAACACATACTATAATTAGTAACTTCGAAGACCTCAGTAATGTCTGTGGAAGTCCCAAGCAAAATTTCACCATTATTGAATTAATAAATTTCTTTTTTTTTTTTTTTTTGACAGGCAGAGTGGACAGTGAGAGAGAGAGAGACAGAGAGAAAGGTCTTCCTTTTGCTGTTGGTTCACCCTCCAATGGCCGCCACAGCCCGTGCACTGCAGCTGGCGCATTGCGCTGATCCGAAGCCAGGAGCCAGGTGCTTTTCCTGGTCTCCCATGCGGGTGCAGGGCCCAACGACTTGGGCCATTCTCCACTGCACTCCCTGGCCACAGCAGAGAGCTGGCCTGGAAGAGGGGCAACCGGGACAGAATCCGGCGCCCAGACCGGGACTAGAACCCAGGGTGCCAGCGCCACAAGGTGGAGGATTAGCCTATTGAGCCACGGTGCTGGCCAATAAATTTCTTAAATAAAGATCTACCATATTTTTATGGAACTGTCATTATTTTTATCATTATAACTATAAAAAGTCCTACCCACTGCCAAACAATAATAGCTGTCAAATTGTGCTTATTGTATATATAAACAGAATAGTGTAGTTTCAGAGCTCTTAATATCTGGGAGACACAAATATACCATAAGGTTTTTTAACCTGAATATGGATTATTTCTATTATATTAAATTATATGTTAAATTTACACCATAAGGACTCTTTTGATTGAAGTTGTACAAAAGTAAATCCAATGTATTTAAGCAAAACAGAACTTTTTTGGTCAGTATAAATTAAAAATCTGGAAATTATCTCCTTTTATATTTTTTTCTTGAACCAGGAAGAAGCCAGCATTTTCCCCTATTTTCTATCTGCCTTCCTCTGTGCCCTTTCCATTTATTTTCCATTCTTTATGCCAGCATAATGGCTACATCTTCATAGCCCCAAGTTCCATGGCAAAGACGACGCTTCTTGTCTCCATGAATATGCATAAAATAGCAGGGCTTTATTCTCACTCCAAACAGGCTACAAGCCCATCATTGAGTAGACCACTGGAACCAGAAGGAAGATACTGTGAAGGTTAGCCTATAAAAGCAAAACTATCAAATCCAGGGGGCTTATTCCATCAGTCTTTATTAGCTCACATGCACTGTGTGGCCATCAGTGGTGTTCTGCTTCTCGGCTGCCCTCATTCCAGAATTTCAGCTGACAAGAGCAGCCACCATCTGTTTGCTGTCACGGCAGCAGAAGAAAGAGCTTTAGATGGATACACATTGGCAATTAGGTGCCTGGCGTAAAAATGACACAGTTTTTTTTTTTTTCATTTTTTAGTTTATAATTAATTAACAAGAACTAGTCAAATGGCCCTACTGCACTATAGAGGCCAGGAAATACAACTCTATTGTGCGCTCAGAGTAATGGGAAATTTAATGTTTTGATGAACAGCACTAAGAAATGCCAGTTGCACTATTTGGCTGAGGATATATGCCCACATGGGGCTGGGTGTAGCGGCAGCCTCACCATACTTGGCAGCCTGTAGGTTGCCATAGAAAATTCAGACTATTGGCCACAAAAAGAGAATCTTTGTAACCAGTGAAAAAAAGCAACATTACATGTAAATGACCAATGTTTTGGATTCAGTGTGAGTGCATCTTCGTATGTGAATAAATTCTTAACTTCCAAATGTTATAAACTAATCATATCTGTGGTTAGAACTAAATGTGATTTTTCCCTACTCTTGCATTTACCTAATTGATTCCTCTGAAGTATTAATATAGACTAAGTATTTTCAGAATAGATACTTTAAATCTAGTTCAGTCCCTATTATCTAGGTCATACCTTTGAAACTAGAGTGGTTTTAGGCCTGTAACTTTCATTCTTTTACAAATAAAGATGTGGGATTCATACTTAAGTCTTCGTTCATTGGACATAGCAAACACTGTTCTGTTCCAATATGGGCTTTAGCAGATTAGATCAGAGATTATTTGCTCAAGGTGGTCAGTATCAATTTTTCTTATGTTGCTTGTGAGGAATAGATATCCACTTTAAAAAATCACTTAAATGAATTTAAGTTAAGAGTTTATAGTAAGGCTATAGTAGTTAATCTGATTTCTCCATCTTCAGTACTGTATAAATCCATTTGTCTTATTTTTTCTCATTTTTTTCTTTAGTATCTATTTTCCTTTTTTAATATTCTCTCTGTTCGGATTCAGCACTGTGGTGTATTAAGTAAAGCTACCACCTGCAGTGCCAGTATCCCATATGGACACCAGTTCAAGTCCTGGCTGCTCCACTTCCAATAAAGTCTCTGCTATGGCCTGGAAAAGTAGTAGAAGATGGCCCAAGTCCTTGGGCCCCTGCACCCAGATGGGAAGACCCAGAGGAAGCTCCAGGCTCCTGGCTCTAGATCGGCTCAACTCTGGCCATTGCAGCCAATTGGGGAGTGAACCAGTGTATGGAAGACCTTTTCTCTCTCTCTGCCTCTCCTTCTTTCTATGTGTTAACTCTGACTTTCAAATAAATAAATCTTTAAAAAAATTCTCTGTTCATTAATTCTCTCTGTTCACTATGGCCAAAGGACAGTGACAAATTATAGTCTCCAGTCCTCCTATTTAAGTTCTAATAAAAGAGAATCAAATTGACAGCCATTGGAAATCGGTCTACTGTTAGTGAAATCAGCTCGGGATGGGGAAACATGTCATGCCATGCATACAACTGGCTGTTTCAGGGCCTGTGGATGAGAAGTAGATTATATGTCAAAGAAAGTTGCACAAGAAAGTTGATTGATTGCTGTAAATGTAAGGATGAGAATATTAATATCACATAGCTTCTCTAGAACTGTAAGTGCTTTACAAACATTAAGTACATTTTGGACCTAAAGTTTCAAGAGTTTTTGAACCTGTAGTTGAAAAGAGTAGTTCAATAGGGAGAGAACTTTTCTCTCAGTGATATGAGGATTCAAGTAATTTCAACTGATATCCAAATTGATTGTATTGATTACAAATGTTAAAACCAGGTTACACAATTTGAGTTAGAATATGATCATTACTTAATAAGACAAAAAATTACATAGAAAGAAAAATTGTCAGAAATCCATATATATAGTATTGTAATGTTTGTCTCAAGGTAACAAGACTGTGTACTATAAATGATTATTATTCGCATATTATAGATAAGAGAACTGAGAGTTCAATAAATCAAATAGCTTGCCCATGGTCGTAGAGTTAATAAGATGCAGAGACACCCACGGTTGAAACAAGCAGTTTTATTCCAGAGTCTTTGGTCTTACCCTTTCTGCTGTGCCCTATGACCACTCTTGACTATCCCAAAGCATTGGTTTTATATCCGTGAGTTAATGTTATGAGGTGTTTCCTTACATAAGAAGCAAAATGCTTCTCATCCCTCCAAGTTTTCTCAAATAACAGTATTTTCACTTTTCAAGCTTCCATGAGCACCTTGCTTCTGTTTCTCATCCATCTTGATTATTCCTTAATTATTACACAGATCACCTTACAATGTAACCAAATAATATTGTGAATCTGTGTGTTTTTGCAGGTCAAGGCCTATATTTTCTTATTTTTGCATTCCTGAAGTATATCATAATTAGTGGAACATGCTATGAGTCAAAAAGTTGTTATCATATTATTCACTAATGAAAGAATGACTATATTAAATGTAGTATACTATGTAAACTTTACCGATTTCTCTTTTGTTACTATTATATAGGACAAGAAGTGCTTCCACAAGAAAGCTTGGGATAAATGCCTATGAATCTTGGAAACTGCTAGGATTCAGAAGCCGAGACAGTGGTTGGTTTGCACTTGATGATGTTGTGGTGAGACCCATGCAGAGTGGTTTGATATCATTTGAACTGTATGAACACTTAGAAAGGTAATTCGCTAGTAAATAATGAAAATTAATGATATTCTCTCTTGATGTCCATAATTGATATTTCCACAGATAGAACTATAAGATTAAATTTTTATTCTTCAGATAGAAATATGAACCATCCTTCAATGTGTGCTTAATATGCAAACCAGAAGTGATATGAATATAGAACTTGTAGTTTCATACATGTTAGTTGAACAGTGATTGTGGAAACCACTCATAACCTAAAATTCTAACAAGTTTCTTCTAACTCTTGGGTAGTTTTAAGATAATACCTTCATTTTTGAAAATCCATGAAGATAGTAATTAATTACTCATGCTATACTCATCTAATAACCATGTATTTATAAACATAATTTGTTATTTCAGTGCCTTCATTTTGCTTTCTTATTTTCATGTTTTCTAGACATCCCATGTGAGAATTGCTTTAGACAGTTTTAAGGTTCATGAGGATAGACAGTCATAAAAAGATGGCAATCATATATCTACAGGTTGCCTTTATTTAGTAATGGAAGCTCTTACATATACAATTGCCTTGCATCAAGTTCCCTAGAAACAGAGCCCGGGATAAGAAATCAATAGATTTATTGAGGGAAGGCTCTCTAATGAATCCTGTCACAGAAGAAAAGAAACAGGTAGAATAGGGGAGGAATGTAGTAAAAGCTACTGTTTTAATTGAGTCTTCTTCCCACCCTAATACCACAGAGGAGAGCTAGAGGTGAGTCCATCCTTATCTGTGGGTGAGGGGGCTCCTCTGGAAGATTTTCTGCAGGAAAATTCTCTAGAGAACAATTGGGGAGTGAGTGTCCCAGCCCAGGGGTACAGGCTGCTGTTGGCTTCCCAGGGATACTATAGTAAAGTATCACAAACTGATTAAACACAGCAATGCATTGTTCACAGCTATGGAGGCTGGAAGTCCTAAATCCAGGTGTTAGTAGAGCTTGTTCCTTCTAAGTACTATGAGCACAGATATCTGTTCCAGGTCACTCCTTGGCTTGTACATGGCCATCATCATGGTCTCATGATGTTCTTTATTTGCATTTCTCTGGGTGGAAATTTCTCCTTTTTATTGGCACCAGTCTTCACTGGATTAGGGCCCATCCTGATTACCTCACCTTAGCTTGCTGTGCTCTGTAAAGATCTTGTCTACAAATAAGGTTGCATTCTGAGGTACTGAGGGTAAGTAAGGGGGAAGGGTGAGTACACAATTCAACCCGTAAAACGGTCCATCCCAACAGTTTTCACCACACGGACTCAATTATTGTATAAATTCTGCATTCTGTTGGGAGTCAGTGGATCATCTTTCTCTGCTAAACTTTGAAGTGTTTTTCTTCATTAAAATGCAACTTAAAATATAAGGGTACTTCAAAAAGTTTATGGAAAATGTAATTGAATTGTGTATTTTCTTGCAAAGTATTGAAACTCATGCATAGTGTTTTCATAATATGCGTTTTCATAAACCTTTTGAAGCTGTCACATATGTTTCCATGTGTAGAGCTGAGCTGACATTATAGGAGTTTTTGTTTGTTTAAGAATGTATTTTAGCATTTAGTTTGATTTTTTGATTTTTCACTGCCGATTTTTACTAAAATCATTCATGAATCGAACCAGTTGGTTATTAAAATTTTTGAAATTAAGAGAAGTTTGGATAAGAGTTGGTCTTTTTTATTTTTAGGATCAGCTATCAGTGACGTTTTTAAAGCTGTGGTTCTCCCTCTGTTCTTGCTTGTTTCCTTCTGGGTAGGTTTATTGTGCTCTACTACTCTTCCATCGTGGACAATGGCCACTTGGTCTCATTTGTGAAATCTTTAGAGGAAGCCATGCTCAGCAGCACAGCCTGTGTAGTACTGTCTCACCAGAGGGACAATCCACATAAAGTAGTTATTTTAGTGGTGCCTTCCAAAGATTTAAACCAAGCACTTAAAAACTTGCGCTTGGATGGTTTCCGGAGTCCTCCAGAGCCATCTCGTCAATTCCAAGTAAGAGAAGGAGAACAACTTCTTTTCAGGTTTACTGGAAACATTTTCGCTTCAAGTAAGTATAAAGAGATCTTTTTATGTCTTCTATGGGATATCATGCACTAACCTCAGAAGGAGTTCACTAAACGTTTTACTAGGGAAGCCTTCAGGGTATTGAGAGGAGTTTTTAGGAAGTAGGGAGAAAAAAATACTAATTCCTTCCGTCTTTCCATTCCCTTTATTCTCCACTTAGGAGAGAGATGCAGGTTCTTTTAAGGACAGACTGTAAGTGACGCTTGTAGAAATCATCTTCATGGTTACTACCCCAGGTCATCTATTTCCTACAACAATGTAGCCATCTCTTCAGTACTCCCCTGCTTCCACTGGTAGCCACATAAAATTTATTCCCACATGGTAACATAGTAGTCTGTTAAAACTATAAATCATACTATATTATTCATCTGAATAATATAATATGATATCATTATATGATATAATATATTATATATTATATAATATCATTAACTCCTATCCAGAATAATATACAAACTATATTTGATGCACTACAAAGAAACTAACCTGAGGTCTATGGACCCCCAAAAGATCTGCAAATAGAACTATATTTCTTTTTTAAAGATTTATTTTATTTGTTCAAAAGACAGAGTTACACAGAGAGAAGGAGAGACAGACAGAGAAATCTTACATCTGCTGGTTCACTCCCAAAATGGCTGCAATAGCCAGGACTTGGCCAGGCTGATGCCAGGAGCCAGGAGCTTCTTCTGGGTCTCCCATGTGGGTGCAGGGGCCCAACTACTTGGGCCAACCTTCACTGCTTTCCCAGGTGAATTAGCAGGGAGCTGGATCAGAAGCAGAACAGCCGGGGCATGAACTAGTGCCCATATGGGATGCCAGCACTGCAGGCAGTGGCTTTACCCACTATCCTACAATACAGCCCTGAGAATAGTATTTCTGCAAAACTGTCTTGTTTCTGTGCAACTCTCAGAAAGACTGGACAGGTTTCACCAAATTCCAAAAGGATTCTTGGCACACCGGAGGTGAAGAACTCTTATATAGATGACACAGCTGCTCACCTCTCTTCTGCATATTCGTCTAGAACTATTTTTGTTTCCATTGTACATCTCACAGTTTTAAACTATTTTACTGATTGTTGGCTTTTTTTTTGTTCATATACTCATTTTATGCTCTTCTCTAGAATGAAGATGTTATGATGTCATGACCTGGGCTTCCTTGTTTACATTCTCTGAGCCTAGCATAGTATCTAATACCTCAAAGGCTTTCAGTAACTGGGTTGTGAATGAATGTGACAATGCTGAGGAAATCAAAATAAAACTATGAGAGCTGGCAGGTGTAGGAGAATGAGGGAGTAGATGAGAGACAAAGAGATGGATAGAGATGAGGAGAAGAGAAAGGAAGGAAACAGGAATGTGGAGAGAAAACATATGTGAGAAGAGAGCCAGAAGTGTGGAAGAGTTACCTTCACAGCAGTTTCTTTTTCATGAAGGCAACCCCTTGATTTTTCCCCCTGAGGTAGAGAAGAGTCTAATCGTGTGCCTACATGGGTGGGGTGTTGGGGAGAGGTAAGAGATTTTTTTCTTTGATATTTTTGGTCCAGGAGCCTTGTGATACACTTGACTTCATGTATAAATGATTATGTGTTCCATTTAATTAAATACTGCCTAATCCTGATTCAGGCAGTGGCTCCAAGATCCATTGGCTCTTTGTTGCTTCAAAAAAAGGGTTGAGCATTGAAGCTGATGTTGCCCTTTTTTTCTAGTATCTCAGCAATAAGTGAGGCTCAAAGAACCTCAATTTGAAGTATCTCTTCCATTGTTACATGCAGCCTCTCAGGCATCTGAGCCAGCTGACAAGACTTAGTGAGAGACAAAGTTGTCAGAGAGGGGGAAGGGAAGGGAGAGGAAGGAAGGGTGGAAGAAATCCCTTCCAACTTGGCTTCCGGAGCAGAAACCACACTGTCCACCCTGGGGAAATCTATCTAATGAGGGATAGTCAAAAACCAGAAATGCTCCACCCAAACTAATGATAGAAATGATTTTTCCTGTCATACTTGGGAAAGCAGCTGTGTTTACCTACTGCTGTAAACATGAATGAGCTACTGTTGTTGTACAGAGCAGTACTAAGTGTACTGATGCCTGAATGGAGTCTGGGGAGCACAGACTAAATAGGAGAGCCTGAAGAAAGCCAGCATATGTGCAAGTCCTCCATGAAAGGGATGGAGAAGTGCTCATCTCCTCTCAGTGACAATGAGAAGGGCAGGTTGCTCAGATCCTTTCTGCTTTGCTTCTCCTTGAGACTTGGCTCAGATGTGGAGCCTTGGGGATTTTTCTCTGCCTAAGAGTGACAAGACCCCCAGTAGAGCACTGCTACCCCATTTTCCCACTGGGACCTGGACTAGTCTCTGTGAGTCTGAACGACAGGAAGCAGATGATTCTTTTCTCCATCCCCAGTGCCTCGCTGCTGCCTCTACATGTCTACCACTGTATCTGCAGATCTCATCTCAATGACTGTGCTCAGGGATATCCCTTTCCCTCCTGACTGAAGCAGTCTCTATTTTATTTTGTTTCTCAGAGCTTTATTCTACGTTTGCAGGTTTTTACTTTTTCTTTTGTGGCCCTTGTCCTATATGTCATTTTTTTCTGTTTGCTCATTAAATGATTTGATCAATGCCAGTTTCGATGAAATCTTTATATTTTTTTGGACAACAAGCAGAGTGGACAGTGAGAGAGAGACAGAGAGAAAGGTCTTCCTTTTGCCATTGGTTCACCCTCCAATGGCCGCCGCGGCTAGTGTGCTGCGGCCGGCGCACCGTGCTGATCTGATGGCAGGAGCCAGGTAATTATCCTGGTCTCCCATGGGGTGCAAGGCCCAAGCACTTGGGCCATCCTCCACTGCACTCCCGGGCCACAGCAGAGAGCTGGCCTGGAAGAGGGGCAACCAGGACAGAATCCGGAACCCTGACCGGGACTAGAACCTGGTGTGCCAGTGCCGCAAGGCAGAGGATTAGCCTAGTGAGCCGCGGCGCCGGCCCAATGCCAGTTTCTCTGACAACAGTCCCATAAGAGGAGGGACTTTCTTGTTGGGATTGTTTCATATAATCTACAGCACCAAGGACAGTACCTGATAGCTAGAAGAGGCTCAGTGACCCTTGAAAGAAATGAAGACCACAGATTGGGAAAGAACCAGACGTTATAGTACTAAGTATGATTAAATGTATTTAAACGTTGGTTACTGAATTTAGAGAACTGCCATTTGAGAAATGCCAACAAATCACTACTCACTTATGTGAAATATAGATGACAATATTGAATGAATTTTATGGACCATAAACTCTACTTCCATTTATTTTTTAAGATTTATTTATTTATTTATTTAAGAGGTAGAGTTACAGAGAGAGAGAGGGAGAGACACAGAGAAAAGACTTCAATCTGCTGGTTCACTCCCCAGATGGGCACAACAGCCGGAGCTGCACCGTTCTGAAGCCAGGAGCCAGGAACTTCCTCCAGGTCTCCCACAGGGGTGCAGGGACCCAAACACTTAGGACATCTTCTGCTGCTTTCCCAGGCCATAGTAGAGAGCTGGATTGGAAGAGGAGTAGCCAGACTAGAACCAGCAACCTTATGGGATGCCAGGACCACAGGCAGAGTCTTAGCCCAGTATGCCACAACTCCAGCGCCTCTACTTCCATTTGCAAGAGAAAAGAAGATGGATAGAGACTTCCTTTGGTGTTTGTATCTGTGTTTGGCATTCTGGACACAAGCTACAGCATGCTTACCATGCTTTCATTCTCTAACTGGAAGCTGGCAGTTAAGCACTTACACTTTCTGTTGCATGCCAGTGTAACAGAAATAAAAGTATTAGAAATGCTTCTACAAGAATCTATTTAGGGACATCACAGCAACAGAATCACAACTAGTAACACCATGTAAAAGAGGTTGTCATATCTTTTTTAAAAAAGATTTATGTATTTATTTGAAAGGCAGTGTTACAGAGAGAGTGAGGGAGATAGATAGACAGAGAAAGAGAGAGATCTTCCATCTGCTTGTTCATTCCCCAAATAGCTTCAATAGCCAGAGCTACACTGATCCGATGCCAGGAGCCACGAACTCCATCTGGGTCTTGTACGTGGTGCAGGATCCCAAGCACTTGGGCCATCTTCCACTGCCTCCCCAGGCCATTAGCTGGGAGCTGGAGCAACTGGGACTCAAACCAGCATCCATATGGGATGCTGGCACTTCTGGTGGCAGCTTTATCTTGTATGCCACAGCACCAACCCTGGTCTTCATATCTTAAAGACACCCTGAGTGTCCTTGGCCCATCGAAATTGTTGTCTTGGATGCATGTGTAAGATGCTAGAATAGCCACCCTTTTAATAATTCAACAATAGCAACAAAAATCCCTGCCTCTATGCATATTATAGTCCAGAGGCAGAGACAGAGCATAATCAAATAAGTAAAGAAAATGTACAGCTTAATATTAGCTGAAAATACATTATAGTAGAAGAAAACAGGGAAAGGATAGAAAGAGTCCCAGAAGAGTGACAGAGTTGCAGTATTTTTAGACTTTATTTATTTATTTAATTTTGACAGGAAGAATTATACAGTGAGAGAGACAGAGAGAAAGGTCGTTCTTCCATTGGTTCACCCCCCATATGGCCACTATGGCTGGCACACTGCGCTGATCCGAAGCCAGGAGCCAGGTGCTTCTTCCTGGTCTCCCCTGTGGGTGCAGGGCCCAATCACCTGGACCATCCTCCACTGCCTTCCCGGGGCACAGCAGAGAGCTGGACTGGAAGAGGAACAACCAGGACTAGAACCCGGTGTGCCGGCGCTGCAGGCGAAGGATTAGCCAAGTGAGCCGCAGCATCAGCCAATGACTTTATTTATTTATTTTAGATGTAGAGTTACAGACACACAGAGGGAGAGACAGAGGGAGATCTATCCTCTGGTTCATTCCCCAAATGGCTGCAATGGCCAGAGCTGGGCCGATCCGAAGTTAGGAGTCAGGAGCTTCTTTTGGGTTTCACATGTGAGTGCAGGGCCCCAAGCACTTTGGTCATCTTCCACTGCATTCCCAGGCCATTAGCAGAGAGCTGGATCAGAAAAGGAGTAGCATAGATATGAACCGGCACCCTATGAAACGCCAGTGCCTTAGTCAGAGGCTTAGCCTACTCTGTCACAGAGCCACCCCCAAAGTTGCAAGTTTAAGTAGTCCTCAGGAAGGCTTTTTTGAGAAGGTGGCATTCAAACAAATGCTCCAAGAAAGTGAGAGAGCAAATCATAACCTTGTCTCCATGCTGTTTAACAAGGCAGAGGGATTATAAATGGCATGAGCTAAGGCAGAGTGTGCCTTTGTGTATTTGAAGAACAACAGGGGGCTAGGATGATGTCATCCTAGGGATTAAAAGGAGGGTGTGGGAGATGAGGACTGATCACACTTTGCTGGCCACTGCAAGGACTTTGCCTTTTATGTTAAGTGAATGGGAAATCATGAAAGGATTTCAACAGCGAGGTGATCTGAATTAGACTGAAACTGTATTGAGAATTGAGTATGTAAGGTAAGGGTTGAAGAAAATAAACCACTTAATAAGCCATTGCAGGAAACCAAGCAGTAGATGTTGGTGGCTTACAGACAGAGGTGGTAGTGAATGTGTTAGAATACGGAGATATCCTGGGCCAGTGGTTTTCATGGGACTCTTTTGTTACCCCATGTTGACAGCCCTCTCACCTTCTTATCCAACTTTTTTTTTTTTTGACAGGCAGAGTGGACAGTGAGAGAGAGAGACAGAGAGAAAGGTCTTCCTTTTGCCGTTGGTTCACCCTCCAATGGCCGCCGCGGCTGGTGCGCTGTGGCCGGCGCACCATGCTGATCAAAGGCAGGAGCCAGGTGCTTCTCCTGGTCTCCCATGGGGTGCAGGGCCCAAGCACCTGGGCCATCCTCCACTGCACTCCAGGGCCATAGTAGAGAGCTGGCCTGGAAGAGGGGCAACCGGGCTTATCCAACTTTTTTAAGCAAAAGCAAATATTCCCACATTTGTATTTTCTACATCATTAATGAAAAATGTGAAATGCTCATTATTGAGAAGAAAAACATTGAGTAATAAAAATGTAAGAAAATTCTGGAATTCTTTATATGACAAGTATTTGTTGAATAGCTACTATCTCAAGACCCTGCTAGGGATGTGTATATGATATGCAAGAAAGAGAAAAGGATTCTCATAAGGTCCTCCAGTGGTTTATTTCATACTTTGGGTTTTCAAAAGACAACTTTTACTTTACTTCTCTTTTAAACATGCCGGTGTTGGAAAAAATAGTACAATTTGTTAGAGATACTCTTTCTTTCTTTGGATCTATTTTTCTCAGAAATCAAGGGTCTTCATAATATAAAATTATGTGTTATAAACAGTGAAACTCCAATTTAAAAATTAATGCTTTATATTTATAAAATTATGTTATTTATTCTAAAAATCATTAATAATTCATCCCTACTTAGTATATAAACATGATCTTTAGATAGTTGCATTTTAAATCTTTATTTTTAAAAATTATTGGCATAAGAATTAGATAAGTTTTAGTTATGAATTGAACATATGTAGTTATATCTCACCCTGAATTCTGATATTCTGTATAGGAATAATTGTGCACATGCAGGAAGTATAATGATTTTCAAGGGGTAGATGAAAAAATTTATGAATAGTATTCTATTGGGATCAAAGTGGGAATATTTTTCTTGGTAGTACCCTAGTATATGGAAACAGAAGTTTTCCTGGTGTTACTACAGGAATCTGAACACTCTAATTTACACAATTTACTACTTAGATCATATTTAATGGCCCCAAAGAATTTGTTTTCCTTTCTTTTCATTTGTTTCCTTTCCTTTTTCCTTTCCTTTCCGTGCCTTTTCTTTTTAAACTGGAGTGAAACTCTTTCAAGAAGACAAACTTGGCTTCCTCTCCTAGGACTCCTTCTGTTTCGTTTAGGTTACCTTTCAAATATCCGTGTACACAAAGAGATGATTCTTATGTCTTCATGAACTGGAATTATTCTTCCTTTAGACTTAACCGTGCTTTGGAAATTCACCAAAATGACCTCCAGCAGTCAACATTGAGAGAGGGGTAGTCATGCCTTCTACATCTCTCAGTGAACTCTTCTTTCACTGGGGAAAATGCAAGGTTTTACTGTGAAAGCTAACTGATTAGTCAAGTTAACAACAGCTTATAGGAGCAGAAGTTTAAATCTGGAGACAGCACTTTCATCTTGACGTTTCTTTAAAGATTTTCACTGGTTCTTAGCATACAATTCAAAATAAAGGAAGAATTCTGCTTCTTCTCATTTGCTGTCATCATTATCATTTATTGAGCATTACTTTGTATCAGAAATTTTGTGCTTATTTTCTCATTTCATTCCCAGAGTGATCCTAGAAGGTAAGCTTTTTTTCTCTCATGGTTTTAAAGATAAAGAAATCAAAACATCTCTAAGAGGCGTGAAAGAACAACTGAACAAATACTACAATATAGGCAAAGTGTGCAGGCTGCACTTGAATCTAAATCTTCCAAAACATGATGTATCAGCTGACTCATTTTATATCTCTATAGCTCTCTTAAAGTGCACAATAGAAATATATTGACTTAGGAAACTTGTTGATATCCATTCTACTTTGACAATAACAGTGTAAAATATCCTGATTGCCATTTTGAAAACTCCATTAGTGAAAAAGGGCTCCCCAGAAGCTCCAGTATTTTCAATGAAGACTTGAGAAGATGTTTAGATATCATTTTAGGAGAATCCATTGGGTCTTCTTAGAAATTTTCAGTAGTGGTATTCCAGTAACTATTCCACTTGCAAGCTCTAGAACAACATTCTCCATTTCTGCAGCAGTGGAAATGGTTTATAACTATGCCACTCAATAAGGTAGCCAATGGGCATATGTCACTATTGAGCTATTTAAAAAAATAATTAATTAATTAATCTAAGGTGGAGAACAGAGAGAGAGGGGAGAGAGCACTCTTCTTCACTGGTCCACTCCCCAGATGCCCTCAATGGCCTGGGCTGTGCCAGGCCAAAGTCAGGATCTGGAAATTCAATGCAGGTTTCTCATGTAGCTGGGAGAAACTTAATTATGTGAACCCCCCAGCACTGCCTTCTGGGATCTGCATCAGTAGGAAGATGGGGTCAGGAACTTAAGCCAGGACTGTTAATTCAGGGACTCCAATATGGGATGAGGGTTGTTTGCTTCTTGATTTTGTTCTTCTTCCTTCTTCCTCTCTCCTCCTCCTTCTTGTCCTTCTTCAGATTTATTTATTCATTTGAAAGTGAATGTTACAGACACAGAGGGAAATAGAGGGACTGAGAGATCTTCCATGCACTGGTTCACTCCCCAGATGGCAATAGCCAAGGCTAAGCCAGACTAAAGCTGGGACCCAGGAGTTTATCTGGTCTCCCATTTGGGTCACTGAGGCCCAAACACTTGGGCTATCTTCCATTGTTTTCCCAGGCCCTTCGCAGGGAGCTGGATGGGAGGTGGAACAGCAGGGACATGAACCACTGCCCCTTTGAGATGCTAGCATTGCAAGCAGTGGCTTTACCTCCTACACCACAACACCGGCCCCGGATATGGGCATCTTAACTGGTACTTTTTTTTTTAGATTTAATTATTAATTGTTACAGAAAGAGAGGGAGAGGGAGATATTGAGAGAGAGAGAGAGAGAGAGAAGGATGGAGGATGGAGGGAGGGAGAATCTTTTATCTGCTTGTTCACTCCTCAGCAATGAAGCCAGGAGCTAGGAGTTTCATCCGAGACTCCTGTATGGGTAGTGGGGGCACAAACACTTGGGCCATCTTATGCTTTTTCCTCAAGACATTATCAGGGAGCTGGGTCATAAGTGGAGCAGAAGGGGGACTCAAAACTGGCACCCATATGGGATGCTGGCATTGCAGGCAGCGTTACCCACTGTACCACAATGCCAGCCCCTTAACTGGTGTCTTAACTACTAGATCAAATGATCACTTCTCTTGAGCATTTTAAACAGTTTGAGTGACGGAAGCCTAGGATTTCTAAATTTTAATTACTTTTTATGAATTTTCTCTTAAATAGCCACATGTCTATTATAAGGTCATGAGTATATACAACATGGTATCAGTAATCAAGAGAAAGGAAAATGTGAAATTCTCTAAATAATGAAAACTCCAAACATTTCCATTAGTTTCTAGTTATAGAAAATTGAATTGAAAAAGAAAATCAAAGATTACTAAGTCTAGAAACATGTAGAGATTACCTGGCCACCCCATTATAGGTGAGAAATCTTTTTGGTCTCAGATTATTGCTGTTTTGTCAGGCTATGTTTTGACAAGAGGCAATGATACAATAAAAGCTTTAATTATATTTTTAAAATGAAATTATCATTTGGATTTAAAAAATAAGTAAGGTAAAGTGATCTATCTTAATGATAACAAATGGATTTTATTTTTTATTTAGACAATGGGAAGGATTATGGAAAAGACTACAAGCTTACTTTTCACTTTCAAAGAAAACTCATGCTGGAACTCCAAATCAAAGAGGTGGATGAATTTGGAAACTATAGCTGTCCTCATTATAAGGGTACTATTGTAGTTTTTAAAGTACCAAAAGAAAATATAGCACCTGACTTGGATCCATCTCTTACTCTTAATGAAAACCATTGCCAGTTGCCAATTTGCAAATTACCATTGAGATTGCCAAAGGTGAGTTATTTTGCTTTCCTTATTATCTTATTTCACTAATTCTTTCTAATTCTCATAACCAGTCATCAGACATTTGGATACTTAAGGCTAAAAGAAAAAATAAAAATTAGATTGATACGGAAAGAGTAAGTCCAATTTTTGAGTGGGAGAATTTGTATTAAGACTTCTGAATCTTTTCATATTAATTTTTCTAACAAGAGCCATTTGAGTTGATCTGGTCCTCACAGTATGTTGTTAATGACTATGTAAATAATGTTGTTCATATTCTTTAACTGAATCTGAATAACTGGGAAATATATGGAAACATTGAATACATTTCAGAGTATTGTGAGAAGGAAAATGACATCAAAATATTCTCACTGAGACTTATCAAATTCTGCATGTTTGTCTAATAAGTTAATCTCTTATCTAAAATTATGACTCATCAGAAATTATAGTTATTTTTCTGAACAAAATAAATGTCAAGCAAAAACAAATATAAATACATTTGAATGCTGTATATATGATTTCTTTCAATGATCCATGACTCTGTATGTCTAAACTATATTCTTAATCAGGAATATAACTGAAAATTTTATTTTATCACTCCAAAGAACAACTTCTCAATCTTTAAAGAAAGCTAAATTTTATTTTCTTATGTTTTTATGTTTCGTTTTATGACTAGTAGAAATAGGTTTTCCATAGAGTCAGATTTTGTACTGATTTAAAATAAATCAGTGAGATAAGAAATTGATTTAACAAATATGATTGAATTTCTGAAATAAGGAATGTGCTTTGTGGAGCATTTTGATAAATACAGAGTGGTAGAGGAAAATATATGATCAAAAGCTGAATTGTCCTGAATGGTAGCTGCTAATCACACGTGGCTATTGAGCAGGTGAAATATGGCTAATGTGAATTAAGATGTACTGTCAGTGTAAAATACACACTGGATTTCAAAGACTTGATACAAAAAAATTCCATTATTTTGGTAACTTTTATATTGATTATATGGTAAATTTATAGTATTTTATTTATATAGTGCTAGATATATCATTAAAATTAATTTACCTGTTTAACATTTTTATGTGGCTACTAGAACATTTTATATTATATATGTGTTCAAACTTACATTTCAATGGGATGAGACTTCTCTAAATGAATTTATAACCTAACAGAGCATGTAAGGCATGTTTACAAATCTACCTTATGAAGTACTGAGTGATTAGACTAGTGGTATAAGCAGTGTACTAATAGTTGTTCAGAGGAGGGAAACAGCTTTTCAGGAAAATGAAGCTAGTAGAAATTTCATAGTGATTTTAGCATTTCATGTGAGCTTTGTAAATTGGTTGAAAGCTGGTCACTGAAAATGAAAAAAAAAAAAGGAAGTTAGGATTGGGAAATGGAGTACATTTAAGTGAGGTGATAGTTTAGCAGGAGTTCACAATTCCTATAGTGGATGTTGTGATCATTTCTAGGATGCCAAAGGTGTTTCAAGAGCTTGCTGACATGCATTGTATCATTAAATCCTCAGAAAAATTCCATTATTTTTGGTATTATCATTATTCTCATTTGATAGAAAACTAAGGCACACAAAGTTTAGAACTTGCCCAGCATTTCATGTATAAGTGAAGTGGTGTATCTTGGATTCAGACCGAGGGTGTCTGCTTTTCTAATGTTTGACAACCACTATGCTGTTTTCTACTTAGCAGATAAAGTTAGGATTCTTATTCAAGGTTCAGCCTTGTAGTTAAATGATATTTCATATATACAGGTTGACCATCCCTAATTCAAAAATCTAAAATCCAAAATGCTAAAAAGTTGGAAGCTTTTGAGTGCTGCATGGACACTGCAAGTGGAAAATTTCGCATCTGACCTCATGTGACAGGACACACTCAAAATACATATGCACTAAATTATATTGTATAAAATTGTCTTTAGGCCACATGTGAAACATCATTGAAGTTCATGTTTAGAATTGGGTCTCATCCTCAAAATATCTCACAATGTGTATGCAAATATTCCAAAATCAGAAAAAATTATGAAATCTGAAACATTTTTCATTCTAAGTATTTTGAATAAGGAATATTGAACTTGCACTATTGTTTGCTATAGAAATAATATTAGAAATGGTTAACAAGGCACATGACAGTGGACCCTGACCAGTTATACTGAAACCAACTCTTAGGACCGTTAGAGCAGCAGGGGCCTAGAGACCTTTAACTCTTTACTTGATGGTTTGGGGAAAATTCTATTGCTTCTGGGAAATATGTGTAGAGTGACAGGGTCTACTAAACTACCAATTCTGAAATTTATGACATTTTAATGACAGTATAGATACATAGGTATATGCTCATTAACAGTTCTGCTTCTTTGCATTTTCATTTTCAACTTATGGCCTTTGCAGCATAGGGACAGTCTGTATTCTCAGTGCACTCTCTTGTAGTCACATGGCTGTTTCTCCCTCCCTCTCTCCCTCCTTTCCTTCCTTCCTTCCTTCCTTCCTTCCTTCCTTCCTTCCTTCCTTCCTTCCTTCCTTCCTTCCTTCCTTTTTATGGGGTTTTATTGTTTATTTAATATATTGTTAATAATTAACTACATATCTTTATGGAACACAGGATGATGCTTTGATACATGCAACACAACTTATATGATCAAATTTGGGCAAAAATGCATATTCATCACCTGAAACATTGTTATTTCAAAGTAGTTAAAGGATTTTGAATGTGCTGACATAGGTAGATGTTTATCATTCATGTCTCAGCCCAAATATTATTTCGTCTCTTTGTGTAATGGAATTCTTTAATCTATCTCCCTTTATGGCTTTACTCATATTAATGTAAATGATTATATTTATTGTATTTGTGTGTTTTCTCTATGGCTTTGCTCCCTGAGGAAACAAACAGCATGAGTGCAGGGCCTTCTCTGTCCTGTTCAGGCACTGTCTTCAGGGAAGAGAACAGTGCCTGGTGCACAGGAGGCCCTCCACATATTTGTGACTGGAGGAATTAAGGGAGGTCTCGAGCTGTCAGCATGTTATAAAGTTTAAGAACTATAGCCTTAAAGAGACACTTGAATTCTTTCCGATCTGTAGTTTGGAGCCTGGCTGTGCAGGCTCATATCTGGCAGGCTATGCAGTTGATTCGGATCACCCTGGAGATTTGGAGGGGTGAAGCACACATTACACTGCTCTCTAGGCAGTTCAGCCAGGCACCTCAGTTGCAGGGAGCTCTGTGCTTGGTTTGCTATGGGATGATTAAAGAAAGACGAGTCAGGGGCTGTCGGAATCCTCTGGCCAGAGATCATGAGGCTGTTACTGGGATAATGGCCGGCAGTAGGCTCATATGGAAGAGAGGACACATGTGAAGTTAAAGAATGTGACACACATTCCGTTTTCAATTTTCCATGTTTTCTTTGTGACCTATGCAGCTTCATGCATTAATTAATCAAGTTTGATAATTTAAAGAATTATATAGATTTTCCCCAATAAAAGTCTATTCAATGGATTGTAGAGGACTTTCACGTAAGTTTCCTCTCTGTTTTGGTTCTAGCTCACCACTCCCCCATCTGCCTGCTTGGGTAATTCCTGTTGGTCATGCCTTATCTATCTGCCTCAGCATACCCTCTCCTAGAAAGCCTTCCTTGATCTACCCATTCATACCAAATTAGGTGTCCCTGGTATGTACAGATAAGATTCTGTGCTGTCCTTGTTATCACAGTTATTGCATTTAATTATAATCATTTGCTTATTTCCTTCCCAAAAGACAAGCACTTCTCAACCTTCTTGTTGCTGATAGTTGTTTTCCTAATCACCCTTTCTCATGAAAATTTATTGCCACAGATATACTGTGTTTCCATTTATACACTTAATTTATATCTATGTTTTATACATTAAAAAAGTGAACTTTTTTTTTGCCATACACCAAACCAAGCTTTTTATTGTTGAAAGTGAACTCACCCAGTGGAGAATGAATACATGGTGGAGGCACTGCACCACCCTGCTCAACTTTGAATGGCCAAGGCTGAGTCAGTACAATGTGCTTGATAAATACACATGAATGACAACATAAATAAGGTAACTTCTGTGTCCTTTTAAAGGTGTTGAACCTTTACATTGACAGTATTGAAACTATATTAACGTGACTAAAAATAGTACATTTCAAATATCTGCTCTCTTACATAGATTAACCTCCTGCCAATTTGCCATCTGTATTTTGTTTTCTCCCTTTTCAGTTTGTACAGGGATTTCCAGACTCATTTTCTTGGCTCTCTCTCATGCTGAAAGTCTTCACAAGCAAATTTGTCAGGATTGAGAAAGAATCTGTGGCTATGGAAACTCTTTTCCTCTTTTAAAACTAGTATAGTGAAACGGGAATTGAAACTGCGACCTTTATTTTTGTGAGAACAGACTTCTTCCAAAAAGTTCAGAACTGAAAATTTTCACCTCAGCTAGGCAGTGTTAGAATATGCTATTTTTCATGAAGAGGAAGTTGCCTTACTAGCATGCTGTTAATGAACACAAGATTATGCATACATTTATCCATGTGACAGTAAATGGGTAGAGGTATTTTTTTCAAAATTAAAAATGCTTTATGTAGTCATTAACAGAGGCTGGGGAGTGTAGGAGAGCAGGTGGGAGTGGCAAAAGTTGATTACTAGGTGCTAAGTTATAGTTGGGAGAAATAGGTCTGGTGTTCTCTTGCATAGTAGGGTGAATATACATAATGACAATGTAGTATATATTTCCAAAAAAGTAGAATAAAGGATTTTGAATTTTTTACTACAAAGAAATGATTAATGTTTGATGACATAGATACATTAACATTAACTTGAACACATATTGAAGTACAATACAGTATATTGAAACATCACGTGTTATGCAATAAATATGTATACATTTTAAGTTAATTGAAAGCAAAACTTAATTTTTTTATTTTTTTATTTATTTTTTTTAACTTTTATTTAATGAATATAAATTTCCAAAGTACGATTTATGGATTACAATGGCTTCCCCCCATACC